ATTTGATATTTGAAGTGGGAATCAGCGATGGTCCGTGTGACGAATTTTTAGGTTTTCGACAGTCAAAAAGGTGTAAACGTCGAAAACGTCATATTACTTACTTAGCTGGCTTGTTACAGAACGGTTGTTCCATAAGCCGAACTTAAAAAAGATTTCCAAAAGATTTCCGTCGGTCTTGTGCGCAAGTCACCAATTTGGAAGACCACGTTCCAAGATGTTGTTTTCTACTTGGCCTTTCCATCTAATTCGTGGCCTTGCTCTTCTACGGGAACCATCAGTAGGCTCGTTTTTATATGCCTTTTGAGCTGGGGCATTTTCATTCATCCGGACAACATGGCCTAGCCACCGTAGTCGCTGCAGCTCAATACGACTGACTATGTCGATGTCCGCATATAAATTGTAAAGCTCGTGGTTCATTCGACGCCGATATTCACCGTCGACACAGATCGGCCCGTAGATCTTTCGTCATATACCTGTATAAAGTGTAATAAATGTAATAAACGTCATTTATTTCAATATTATCACCATATAAAGTTATTTTCAAGAATATATATTATTTTTATATATATCTGACTATTCCTTACTAGAACTGATCAAAAATTCTAAACTTTTTGGAGAAGAAAATTTTGAAATTTGACATGAATTTCAGTAAAGCATGCGCCATTTTGTCAAAAATCTAATGGATTTGGGTGGGAAGGAATTCGGAATTATAGTACAACAAATTATACAGTATTCATGATTTCCATAAAAAAGAGTATTTATTTTTATTCCCCTTCCGCATACGAAATGGATTTTCTTTAGAAAATTGTTTAGAATTTATAAAACGACTCTCGTAGATTTTTAAGGTTGGTGGAATTTAATATGCCCATATCGAATGAATTTACAGCAACAAGATTTCGAAAAATTATTTGTAGAAAAAGAAGAATTGGGTGTTTGGTGTCGTTAGATAGCTAATTTTCAATTCAAACCCAAAACTCGTGGATTGGATTAATAATACATGAAGACAAAACAAAGCAAATATCTACAGTCATTCAAATCGAAGCATCAGCCTGAAACGGTTACAAGTCAAAAATTAGCTCACACAAGTTTTCCCAGTAGTATATAAAGAAAAAGGCAACAACAAATACAACAACGCCAGTGGCAAAATATATTAACATCTAACATTTTTCAATACAATAACCAATACATATCATCCGCAAAAACTCAAAACAAAAAAAACTTCTTATTCAGCATCATTAGAGTTTTGAAATTTATCCCCAACTTCAAAGTTATTGTTCAAGCGTGTTGTCATCTTAATATCTGCCAATGTGGGTCTAAACACTTTAACGAAAAAGAAAAGAAAATGGGGAAAGTGTTCAAGCATGACTCTCTATTTAAGAAGCATCATGATTTGCTAAAAACAATCTGTGGTTTTGGTTTTTTCTATTCTTATTGGCATTGGTTAGACTTGTTGGTTTTGATTTATTTATTTAAATACTCAGTGTTAAGAAAATTACAAAAATCAAATGATGAAGCAAAAAAAAAAAAAAATCATGAGACCATGCTGCCGACACATAATAAATTAGTTTGTTAAATGGAAAGTAAAACGATTGGCAACATCTTAAATTTTGATGTTATTTCTTTCAGGGACTTTAGCGGTAACAGTTCTCACAATGAAATTTTTCAATAATGTGATGGAAATGCAAAATCCCTAGAAAAATTTTACATTTCTACTATCTCAAAACCTGGGCTGATATTGAACTACACAATTCTCAATAATACATGTTATATGGGAACTTCATAATGGGTAGCCGTACACCCAATTTATTGAATCGTTTACATTTTCGATTCGAATTTCTTAAAAAGGCATATTGCTAATTTTTTTTAATTTACTGTGTGTACACGTATCCTTTTAACTATTACCATTTCTAAAAGATTTATTGTTAAATTTCATAATCAAACTCAAATATTCTAGTTAGCCGTTCATTATTACATATAGCATCACATATCCTATCTGTCCCTGTAATTTTATTGTTTTATACTTTTCAAAGAAAAAGGAACAATAACTTTTACAATTCACAAAAGTAATCTTTTGGGCAAATTTTAAGGACTTTCCAAAGTTTTTTTCCTAATTTTTGTTTTATAAACTTAACTCAAGGACTCTCTTGGCATATTCTGTGGAAGTTGTTGTTTGATATTGTTGAAAAAAGTTTCACATATGAAAACGGAAAATAATTTTCCGTTTCTTTTTTGTAAATTGTATTCTTATTCGTTGAGAATGGAAACTCCTAGAGACCACTTGAACTGTCAATGACACAAAATATATACGAAAAAGTTTATAACAAATATATTTCAATACACTGTGAATTTATTTTTTATTTGTGGCACTTTAATTTATCACAAAAATATAAATACATTTTATTTCTTTTTATATCTTCTATTCCTTTAGGAGGTAATGTCCAGTGAAGCGATCTCTTTGAAGTTCCTCGATGTGGTTACAATTCTTCTCAAATATTGCGGCAATAAATGCACGGCAGCTAAGAATAGTGAAACTCAGGCAGTTATAATTGATTTGATTGCAACCATCGGTTTCTTCTGCGCCAATAATAAACAAAATCAGGTAAATGGTTGATTATTTTAAAGTCCATTAAGAATATTGTTTGTTAATGTATTGTGTATTTTCTATTTATTTGCAGGATCTTTTAACCTCTGAACAGTGTTCCATTATCATTAAGAATTTAACAAAACTACCTGAACATTTGAATGTGGTGGTCTATCCATGTCTAGTAACTATAACGTTCCAAAATCAGGAAGCCCGTAATGTGATATCACGTGATTTTAATCTAGATGTAAGTACAATAATGATTTTAATAATGATGAAAGAAAAACAAACTAAAGTAATGTTTTGCGCAAATTAAAAAAAAATGTAAAATTACTTTTTGCTTATTATACCCTTCACACACTGTGGTGGTGGGTATAATAACGAGATAGACACATGTTTCCTTTTGAGAATATCCATATAATCACTTTCTGAGTCGATTTATGCATGTCCGACTTTCTGTCTGTCCATGTTAAATTGTAAACAAAGTTCAGGTGAAATTTCAGAATTGGATGAAATTTGGTACAGTGATCTATTTAGCCCAAGGACGAACCCTATTGAAATTGGGAAAAAATCGATATAGCTCCCATATATATTTTCGTCCGATTTTATGTAAATGGTGCACCAAAGTCCCTATATATCGTTCGATTTACACGAAATTTGGCATAGCGTACTTAATTAAGTTTAGAATGATGTGTGTCAAGTTTCGTGGAATTCGGTTCAGATTTAGATATAACTCCAATATATATTTTCGTCCGATTTTATGTAAATAGTGTACCAAAGTCCTAATATATCTTTCGATTTGCACGAAAATTAGCAAGTTTCGTTGAAGTCGGTTCAAATTTATATATAGCTCCCACATATATACTTTCGTTTGATTTTGAGAAAATGGTGCACTACAGTCATAATCAAATTGAGACTATGTTAATGTTGTTGTTTTTTTTTTTAATTGGTTCAGATACAGACATAACTTCCATACATATTTCGAACGGGTGCCTGATTCAAATTTAATTTTGAACAGTGCGGCACACCGAATAGCGTGTGTCAAGTGTGCTATAAATCGATTTACATAAATTTCTCCCATTGTACGCAAACGACTCTAAATCTGCCCGAATGAAATAAAATTTAGCATAGGTTGCAGAAAGGCATATGTATGGATTAATTTTAGTCGGGAGCATTGACATGAAATTGTTAGAATACATATTTAGATATTACCCAGAGTGATGAAGGGTATCATATAGTCGGCACAGTCCTAATTTACTACTTTCCTTACTAGTTTTTATTTTTTCGAAATTTTATCAAGAAAGAGGAAATATTTACCCAGAAGCAATTCCCCAGTCCAAAGGTGATCAAGTGCTTACATTTATATGGTTTTCCGAAATATCTTTAAGTGACACCCTCTCCCCTTTCCTTGGCTACAAAAACTTAAATTTTGGTTTTCTATTTAATTTAAGAGTTCAAGGGAATTTGTGAGACGGTTATTGGTTACCTCAAGAACAGAGCTTGGGAGAGCTATGGTAGCAGGCCAACATGCCCGGAAACTATCAAGAAAGTTATTTTATTTCTGAAAAGAATCGGAAAACCATATTTCTTTTCGCAAAAGCTGATATTAATTGGAATCCGACTCAGTGGCGAAATATTACGCTCTCGGATGAATTAAAGTTAAATATTAACGAATTAGACATGAAAAAAAGTCCAAAAATTAAAGGCTCATGCCACAGTATTGGAAGCATAGACGAGGGTCAGTAATGGTATCGGGCTGTTTTTCTTTTTTTGTGGAGTTCGATTTATTTACGAGATCTGTGAAGTAATGGATCGGATTCTTTATACAAATGTGTTGAAAACGCCTTTGTCGAAGGAAATATACCACTTGTTTGGGTGTTTTAGTTTTAGAATAACCTCCAATCATACACCACAGTAAAAAATTAGGGGTTTCAATCATTAGATCTTTACCATATAGAAAATTCTTTGGAGCAAAATCAAAAGAGTATCACAAAGAAACACATAGGTTCAAGATGCAAGGAGTAGTATACCCAAGGATCAAATTGAGCATTTTAATGATTGAATGGCTTGTAGGTGTGCTGCCGTAATTAAAATTAATGATTATGCTAACGATTACTAGCAAAATTTGCTTATTCATAAGAAACAATTAAAAACTGCTTTAGTTTTGACTATGCAAAAATTGGGCCAATTTAGTTTTACAGAGAATATTTTTCATTTCAAAATAAATTTTACGATTATATTTTTTGTTTTCCAAAAATTAATAAATCACCTACTTTTTTCTGCAAAAAAAAAAAAAAAAAATTCACTGTAACTTTATTTCCAAAAAAAGTTACAGGTCATTTATTTATATATGTATCTTACTAATCGGTGAATATAACTGGTGTTTTATCAGGCCTCGTATAATTCCGTCCGATCCCATTTAAATGATTTGCCTCATGCTATCCTAATAAGTTTTGCACTTTCCACCAAAAATATTGCCTGAAATCAAGTTTGAATTAGCTAAGATTTAGATATAGCGTTGAGCAGCTCTTGAATATACCAATTGCGATGCAGGGTATTATAAAACGCCCGGGATTGGTTCATTCCTAACTATTTATAACCATTAAAAATAAAACATGATTTTCATTTATTTCTTGTTTCTTTTTTTATTCACTTACAGTTCCTGGATGAATACAGTAAATCGGAAAAAGCTAAAAAGAATCATCTGGTAGCTCTGCTCAAAGATAAGACGTAATTAAATTGATGTCATCGTGTCCGTTTCTCTCTGTTACTGGTTGTCTTCTTCGGAATCAGTCGTCAGCACAACCTCAACTTACCGTGGTGCTGTTGTATGGTTCTAGGTTTTGTCCGCTAATACAACATGACTGCCAATTTTGTACAATGACGGATGATAAGGAAGATGATGATGCTGCACATGAATCGATTTTAATTGTCTACCAAACTCATTTTGAAATCGCTGGATCTATGTCTATGACAACAACAATACAAACAAAATTTATTTTTTTATAAAATCATCATTAATATTATTACACTTATGTACATGTAAATGAATACTTAGATATTTACGTATTATTAACATTAACACTAACACACTCACACAATTACATTGCAATTTTTTATTGAATTATTACAAACACACACAACAAACATACTTATGTATTATTACAGAATATCCTCTTAGCGTATACATACACTTAAATTATATAATATACTAATATTTTTTATATTGAAATTAATCTAGATTTAGAAATTAACAAGTAACCAGTGAAAGAAACATTGATGCTTATTTTTAGAAATGTTTTTATAATTTTTAATTAATTGTGATATGGAAATAATGAATTTTAAATGATACATACCCAGTATCCAAAATTATCTGGCCCAACAGACAGAGAGAGCTGTCTTTATTAACTATTTTTCAATATATCATGTATCGGGTGGCGGAAACTAAATATTTGAAAACTAATACCAAATCAAATATCGAAAAATTTCAATATAATTTGTTTTGGTCACTGGGTATAAATCTACTGAAAATTATGTATGACTATTATTTTTCATAATTCCTCTTCTTCCTACCCTACTAAACATTGTAATGCAGCAAGCAATTTTTGTTGTTGTTGTATTTATATTGAGATTTCCAATGTATTAAAATATTTTGTTTTTTTTTTTTAATATATTTAGAACTATCCTTGCGAATACTTTGATGGCGCTTCTAGTATGTAGTATTAATTTTAACTTGCCCTCTTATACTTTTCTTGGAATATGAATCTGTAATATTTTTTATTATTGTTTTAATAATACATATTTATTATTTTTTCAAACATTTAATTACATGTGTTTATTTATTAATAGCAATTGGTTATATATTTTTTAAAGGATCTGGGAAGGTAGGTATTTTTGGCGTTTTCTGATATTCTTTAAAACTTGTTATGTTTCCGTTAAAACGACCATCTCGATTAATCGAGGTGATGGCTGCAAAAACGATGTAGTTCACCAATCGATACATTTCTTTGAATACTTACGATATGAAAAAATTTACAAAGATATATTATGAACATTTTGAAAAAGTTTATTTGTTGAAACTTTTTTTGTAGTCACTATAAGTAGATATACAGGTATATGTTCTGGAAAACACACGGTGTGTTTATACCCTTCACCCCACTGTGGTGAACATTAAGTCTAGAACGATGTGTGTTTAGTTTCGGGAAAATCGGTTCAGGTTTGGATATAGCTTCCATACATATTTGTGTTCGATTTAATGTAAATTGTGTACTAAAGTCCCTGTATATCTTTCAAATTGCAAGAAATTTGGCATAATTTTGTACAACGTACTGAAGTTAATATAAATTAGTCTCTGGCAAGATTCGTTGAAATCGGTTCGGATTTAGTTAGGTTCCGATTTTAGGTAAATGGAGCACCGAGTGACACGAAATTTTGCTCAACGTATCGAATTGACACTACAATGACGTAATTACGTTTTGTTGAAATTTGTGCAGATGCAGACACAGCTTTCATATATGTATATTTCAAACGTGTGTCTTGTTGGCGTGTATAAAATTCGCTCTAAATTTTTCCCATTGTACGCCATCGACCAAGGTATATTAAGAAGTTTTTTCAAAACTATTTCCAAAAAATATTGAAATACATTTGAAAATATCGCATGTCACGAAAATAGGTATATCAGCAGGCCATCGAGATGAGAATACCATGGAGTCGAAAACACGATTTAGAGGTCAAAAAGAAGATTTAGGTTCGGTTGGAAATTGTTGTCTCCTAAAAGAAGATTGCTTGGTATTCTTTATATCTTTTATATAGAGATATTTTTGTCTTCTATTAAAAGAGACGTTTTGCAAAAATATACCGTTCGACCAGAATAGTTTGTGTTGTGACACTTGCGGTTCTTGGAGCGGTTCAATGTGGACACCAAAACACTTTTTGTATGCCTTCAGTTATGCTTTATTTGTTTTTTTTACATTTCATAGGAGGACATTAAAATACTAAGGGAAAATTAGTCCAAATCTTGTAATCTCTCCATAATTTCGATGACTCCAACTTTATTCATTTAAAGGCGCCCTTCGATGTTGATTTTTTCACAAATATTTACAATTTTCAAAACACTTAAAAAGTAAACAAATATTCTTCATATTTCAAAATGCTAAATTCTGATTGGTTGAATTTAATTTGCTTTGAGTTTTGTATTTCATGGCGAAAATATTTTTATTCAATTTTGACATATCATGTTCCCAATTCGCCGATGCGGCTACCTTATATATCTACCTTGCCATCGACTCTAAACTTTCCCAAATGAAATTAAATTTAGCATATTTACATATTAATCTATCATTATATGAATTTTTTAATTTAATTTAATATGAATTTTATAAATAATATTCTTTAATACAGAAAAACAAGAATACATCCGACTCTCATGCCAGAACATGCCCGATATAATTGTTCATCAACTTTACATGAATTATCAAACACAATGTCATTGGAGATGATGAAGTTCAATGGGGGATTGCCCTTGTTACGTCAGGAATTTTAAAGGTCCGGCATATCTTTGATCGCACGCTGGGTGCGAATTATAATTTTCGATGTCGAATTGATTCTATCGAGATCATCAATCAATATCGAATGCTTTCTTTCGAAAGATTTACATTTCAGACCTATGAGATTTTTTGTTCTGTAGAAAACGTATATGCTCTGTGCAAAGCTTTTGCACCTTCTTCTTTGCAACGCGCGCTTTGACTCAACCCCAATACTGGATATTGGATGGACTCATGTAGAGGTTTGTCCCGAAAAATCCAATTTTGAAAGCACGTAATTAATCGCTTCTTTCGTTAACATTAAACTTGGTCTGGATATTTAAAAAGAAATTATTATATTAATATACAACACACTTATATGATAAATCTTACGCAATTTCCGGCAATGATAAAATATCACTATGTGCGTGAATTTGTTTACGAATTTTAGAGCATAAAAAATAATAAAGGTCCTATTTTATTTTAAATCTAATTTTGTACACGAACGCGCTAACTATTTATATATTTGACAGCACACTAGACATATAACAGGTAGATGCAACTTATTTTTAACAGCTACAAAAACTGTTGCAGAGAGTTAATATATTCTTATTCAGAATTTATAAGAAAATATATTAGTACCGTTCCAGAACCTAATAGAATCTACTAAATTTACAAGTTTTGCATCTTTTTACTCGAAAACCGTTCCTGAACCCACAAAACTAGTAAAACTTTGAGCCAAATTTTAGAGAGCACAAAACAAAATGGCGTTCTCTTTGTAAACTTTTTACTCTAGAAATTTCGCCGAGTAAAAATGGTAAACAGGAATGCCTACTTCTGATTGGCTGTTATGTTGATTTTGAAGTATTGCCACCTACTATTAACATATTTACTAGATTTCCGTTCCCGAACTTTTCAAATTAGTTTGTACACTGAGAGCGAGTTTGACATTTTTCCCTTTTACTAGATTTACTAAAAAAAAGTGCTGGAACAGACCAATTATTGACATGAGTCGGCCAAAAATTCCGACATTTTCATTCATAATTATTTATTTATTTTTCTTTTAATATAATTACAACCAAATGCCACCAACAAAATATCTGATATATCTATTTAATAAACACACCACAGAAAATAAAGATTTTTGGCAAATCGAAAAAATCGCCAAAAATCCACAACTTTTCTTTTACAATTCCGATGAGATGGTATCATACAGTAGGTATGCTCGTATTGAAATTTATTGTCAAATAAGAACTCAGTCGATATCGACTGTTATCATTTGTCCCCTGGTAATTGTAATTGACACCAGTTGGTTTGCTCCTGGCATAACCGTAGGCAACGTAGGTAACCCTCAATCTGTAAATTTTGTAGAGGTTCTCGTTACCTTGGCACATCATCCTTCATTGAATCAAAGTTTCGTGTTTTTCTGCTGCGCTCGGTGTATTCCAGAGGTTCTTGATGATGCCCGAAACGGGAATGGGGTCTTTTACTATTTATTTACTTTTGAAAATAAAATTTTTCAAAATTCCGGAACAGATACTTTTGATACATTTTACAATATTTTACTGATAGGTACTTATGAATGGTCTTAGTTTTTGATGGTTACATACCCGTGTCTATTATACAAATTTCAAAAAAATTAGCGTCCTTCAATGTAGGTAGCCCTCGCAAAAACTTACATCAATAACAATTATATTGGGCATTAAATTGAATTGGAAGGGATTGTTACTATAACAGCACCCAAAAAGGATTTCTATATAAATCTACCTTCGGAAATCATAAAATGATATAACCATTTGTATCACGTCCATTTTCTTTAATTGTAAAAATAATAAACATTTCAGCCTTCCATACAAAGAATTGTCCTCGATTTAAAATGAGACACTAACGGCAGTTGCTCATGGATTTCTATGACCTAATGTATTTGTTATTAGTTTACGTTGCTTTTCTTGAATCTTGTAAGACTGAATATTTTTTTTTTCTATTTTGGATTTATGATTTTAAAATAATCTAAAAAAATATTTCACAGTGGTTATAGCCTGATCTTATATGCATTGAAATTCTTTAAGTCATACTCTATTAAATATCAGAAAACTTTAAATATAACTCGGGGAAATTTTCAATGGTTTTGTTTATATCAACGCTTATATAAATTATAGCCTTTCAGTTAATCACAGTTAATTATAGGACATCTTTTAACTGCTCCATCTAATTTCGAAAAATTACTCGTACACCCCTTTCCGAAGATGTCACTCTATTTC